AAAGAAAAGAAGAGAAATGGTCTGTCAGGCCGTTGAGAAAAGAAGTTTAAAATGCCTTGAACTATTCACCGCTGAGATGGCTAATCAGTATTGAGGCTGCGGGGCAATCGGGCAGCTTTTCAATGTGGTTTTCCTTTCATCTAAATCGGGATGGAGGCGCTCAATTAAAAGCCTATCAGTTTGTAAGTAAATCAAAGCCTATCAAAGTTGTCACATCAAACAAAACGATTATTATTGCAACCCGCCTCTGCCATTAATCTCTTTCTGTGGTAATCTGCTTGACAGGTCAACACGGAGAGCAAGAAAACCTGGAGTGGACAGTCAAGGCTGCAAAATATTTTATTTATTTTTACTGAATTGTATTTTTTTTTTTGAGAAAAATAAAAATGCAAAATAAAAAAAAACATTTTTTTCGAGTCCCATATTTTTTTAATTAGTTACATTTTGGAGTGAATATAATAAAACGTTTACAGAGCAAACTTGCAAAAGACTAATAAAAAAAAAAAAGACAGATAGGAAAAAAGTTTTTACCTTATAGGCCCACAACTGATTTCAACTTTGTTAAAGGTGCACTAATAAAGAAATTAATAACTATCTTCTCTATCTTGTCTACATATCTCATGCAATATAAATAGATGTCGACTTCTAAATAAGACATGTTGTTCTCAGCGTAATATGTGTGTTTCTAAGAGAGGGAGGAAGGAAAAAGTCCAAGTAAGCGGATCTCTATTTCTACGAATGTTCTCAGTCTTCTTTTTTTTCTTTCTTGCAGAAAAGAAGAGGGGGGACGTTTCACAATATGCAAAGATGTGTGATTGATAACAGGCTTGGTATTTTCTGCAAGGGATGTCAGTCCGTGACACAATATGTGAGTTATTAGGGCAAAGAAGGGCAACCATAAATTTTCACTGTCAGGCGAAAACCCTCTTTATTGTCCCTATGACGAATGGGCTTCTGCACCAGACACCAAAATACTCGGCATTCCTCTTAAATGGGAACACATTTTTGCGACCATAATTCATGATATTTAAATAGAAAGTTTTAATATCCCCCATATATTTCATAACACTGACATGTTTATGAATCACTCCGCATGCAAATACAACCATTTACATCTCGCGAGGAAATACTTTATGTTGGACTTGTAGGATTACAGAGCCGACTTGTTGTGATGAAGCGAGGAAGAACACATTTCATTATTAGGGCTGATTTACGCAGCCAAACTAAATATGAAATATATAATTAAACAACTTTCCTAAATGCGTATCTTCAGTTTTTTTTAAGGCTATGGTGTAAACGCTACTTTATTTTGGGCCTATATACAAACTGCTTGGGAGCTATTCACGACGTTACCATAAAGTTATTAATTTCATTTTAGACCGTTTGCCGTTTATTATTTATAAATATATTCTAGCAATAATTAAAGTGTACAAAGACAGCAACAGAGAGGCACAGAATCTCCGCGTAGCAGTAATATAAAAAAAAGATGTGGACTGGCCAGGATAGCAGACTATTAAAACTATTAAAGTACATGCATGAAGTAGATTTGTTTCCCCTCTAAAACTCCGTGGAAGGACAGGATTACAGGAAAGTCCGTGACACGACATTACCTGGAATCATTGCCTACTAAGCTCCGATGTAAAACGTCAGAGAGGTAAAAACGATTAAAAAAAAACATCAACAACAGTGTAACGACATTAAGACGTAGTCCTTGTGTCTAAAAGAAACCCTGTTTGGAATTACTCAAACACAACCACTCAATACACTGTCGAAGTGAAGCAAGGAACACAGCGAGGACCGAAGCCATGCAGACTCTCCCTCGCTCACTCTCTCTCCGGGAGAGCGGCGGGGAGAGAGTGAGCTTTTCCGCGTGTGGGAGGTCTTAGGTGACGTCACAAAACATGCAGCAGGCAAGCTGGCTGAGCAATGTGCAATGAACAGCAGCAGGCCTATGGCGCTCACAAACTTTCTAATGTCTCTAAACAGTGAACCACTGTGACCCACAAGTAAGCAGGACTGCGACATACCTCATTAAAGCAGTCAGCTTACTTGTTGCCAAAGCTTCAACTAGAGCAGGACAAACACAGCACTGTGGTGGGAACGTCAGTCTTTGACTGCACATACAAAATTAAGGACCGATAGCCTGTAAGAAAAGTATATAGTTTTTGTTAATAACAAGTAAGTATATATTTAGAATATATATAATATCCCATCCATAATAATCACGTTTAAATGATCCAGAAAAGAATATTTGACCACAAGAGGATGCATGACTATACTGCATCTGAAAAAGTGGCTTGACAAAACTAGCACGGTTCAAAACTAGTATAAAAGATATGTGGTTGTAAGTATTTTGTAAGAAACAAACCTTAATTACTTAGCACAAAGTTATTAGCAGCTTTTATACAGATATACAAGATACCTACATCAGATAATTTATTAGGTACATCTTGCTAGTATATGGTTAGACCCTGTTTTCTCTTCAGAACTGCTTAAATTCTTTGTTGGATAGGCGATGGAAACACTGCTCAAGGATTTTGGTCCAAATAGAAAGCATCACACAGTTCCTGCATATTTGTCAGCTGCATATTCATGATGCAAATCTGCCCTTCCACCACATCCCAAAGCTGCTCTACTTGATTGTGATCTGGTGATTGTGGAGGCCACGTATGTACAGTGAACTGTCAAGAAACCAGTTTGAGATGATCTTAGCTTTGTGACAGGGTGTGTTATCCTCCTGGAAGCAGCCTTCAGAAGATGGATACACTGCAGTCGTAAAGAGATTGAGAAGGTCAGCAACAATACTTGGGCAGGCTGTGTATCATGCTCTATTGTAACCAAGGGGCCAAAAGTCTACCAAGAAAATATCCTTCACACCATTACAACACTGAGCTGTTGACATAAGGCAGGATAGATCTGTGCTTTTGTGCTGTTCAAACTGAGACTCATCAGTTTAGGCAATGTTTTTGTTGTCCACGTTTGGTAAGCCGACACAAATTGTAGCCTCATTGCAGTGACACAAAACTATCTTTTGTGCTCAGGAGCATTCGAGTCAAAGGTAAATCCCAGATCGTTCGTGCAAATGTCTGTCATTGTGTAATGAGACAGTCAGTATCCATACATGTGTTTATATATCAAATTTCAAACAACTGAAAAATTCAAAGATCTTGGTCTTGGAACATATTTCTGTAATATTAGGTTTGGTGCTCCACAGCAACATTCTGTACACAGACCAGTGCATTCTAATATTAAAAGGAAAACTATTGCAGTTTTTTGTACTGTGGTCTGGACAAAATGATCACAGAATGCTGCAATTTCACAGACCTTTGACACCATGTTTAGTTTTATAACTAGCAGGACAAATATGTTATACTCCACATCATACTGTCAAGTGGAAGAAACAAAAGGGCTAATTATGAAGTCTGGACAGAGCTTTTAAAATATGGAACAAGCTTTTGGTAGTCATTAGACTGGAAAAACAAAATAAATCTATCTGAGAGATCTAAATCTCTGCAAAATTGACAGTCTCTTAAAAAGAAAGACTGATCAGCTCAACAAAACCAAAAGACCTGAAAGTGGATAATCACAAATTCTTTCATCGGTTAAGTAAAGTTGTATCGCTATCAAAGTCCACAAAACTGAGATACCAACATGAATGGAAAACACAGAACATTCAGAACAAGGCGCAAACTACTGATTATGCTCAATAACAAGCAGGACAGATTATACTTTGTCAGAAAACAGTTCCAAGATGAAACCAAGATGAACTTGGCTAGCATCGGAATGATGGAAAGGGAAAGGTATGTAGTAGGAGAAAAAGGTCTTAAGCTTAGAAGCATACTACATCATCTGTCAAACATGGATGTAGCTAATGTTATGGGGTGGGTACATATGGCTGCTAGTGAAACCAGGTCAGCAGTGACAACTCATAGATGCAGCAGGATGAATTGTATGAAGTGTACAGGGTACTACACTCTCTGCTCAGACTGAATCAAATGCTCCAAAACTGACCAGACAGTGCTTCACAGTGCAAATGGATAATGTGTCAAAGCATTCAAAGAAATTGGATATTCTTCAATGGTGAAGTTAGTCACCTGATCTCAACCCAGTAGTCCGTGCTTTTTCATTTATTGAAAATAAAACTCAATGCAGAACGACTCACAAACAAGCAGCAACGTTAGGCAGATAGAACATCATAAGGGAGGAAACACAGGATTTAGCGATCCCAATGGGTTCTAGACTTTATCCAGTCATTGCTGTTCATCCAAGTATTAAAAAACAAGCCTCATGCTTGAAATTATATAAATTTGTCTAACTATTTTTGAGCCTCTGTAAATGGGGTATATGTTAAAAAATGGTTATAAACCCTATTTTTTAAATAAGCACTCTGAATTTAACCTAAACGTCTGAACTTCAGTCACATAACAATTGATTTTGAATCTATTAATTTTTTTTTTAAAGCCAACGTATGAGAAACACTGAACTCAGAGATAAACATAGCATCATTTATGCAAAAAGAAAAAGAAAAGGAAAAAGTTGAGTGAACTTACCCTTTAAATAAGAAACTTGTCAAGGGCGATGGGGGCAGCACTGAGCCCAATTGTGTGGTCAAAGGGGAAGATGTTGTCAAGACTTACCATAGATAGTGCCATTTGGAAAACTGACTCAAAATGAGGTTCTTGATTGTTGATTGCTATGTTATAGCTTTACATCCAAAATACTTACATACTTGATGTAACCCCCCAGTAAAGAACCGCCATAACGCTCTGGTTAAATAGAGGCAGCTTCTCAGACTAACATGGGCAATTAAAATGATTTTACTTCAGGTTTGATCTAATCTCTATTTTAGTGTATATGTATGTTTTATTACCAGTATGGCTCTCCACGCCCCCTCTCCCCCGTATGGCTTACTGAGACCAGGTGTTCTACCTACCTGGACTTCTTTTTCCACAATGTTTCAGTATTTTAGCCGAGAGCCGTGCACACATCCAGTCTGAATCTAATGTTGTCATTAGGAAAACAGTCAGCACTCAGGTTTGATCAGCAACAGCGACCGCGTGCTTCCGCACAACAGCAGGTCAGCTGATTGAAACGGCACGCGGAAACAGTAAAGTCAATTTGAAATCGCCACTAGTTCTCCAAAGCACTCGGTCTTCACCCACAAACACCAGCGCTTAACGTAAAGCAAAACGTAACGTCTTTCTTTCGTAAGCGGATTTTTTTTAAGTGCAGTGACTCGGATAGTTGATGTAAAAACAGTGGGCGAGAAAGATATGGCAAACAACGAGTCGCTGGTCGCATTGAATGGGACTCAGGTAAGTTTGCTTAGGAGAGTGTTTCTCTCAGACTTTGTCCCCTGCTTGTGTAATGTGCCACTTTTTTTTTTTATTTAAGCCCCACTCTAAATAATTTACTAGCGCTGAAGTTATGCTGCTGTGTTTGTTTCCTCGACTTCACTGGAGTCATGTGACACGCTGAAGCTAGCATTACAGATGTGACTTTCGCTTCTTTTACAGCTTCACTGACAAAAATAAACTCCGTAATAAGTAATGTAATAAAGTGTACCCAGTGCAAGGCGGTTTGTTGAAATGTAAGTTCACAGGGGCAGAAGTGAAAAGCATACAGAGGAAAGGATTAGTTATCCCTTCGCATAAACAGAAAGACAGGTGTAGTTTAGAAACCATCCGGCTTTACAGTGAGGCATCCTATCCAGCTGTTTCGCCAAGTGTTGCAGTATAAGGCTGTGTATGTTATTCAGATTTAATTAAAAAGTTGTTGTTGGGATATCATGAAAAATGTGTCTGTTCCCCCGTCAGAGATGCAGTTTTTATATGTCTCTCTCTTTTAATTTTCAAAGATTTCATACATTGGGCACGACTGTAAGGAAATTCCAGAGTTCCTTGGAGAGACCTATGGCCAGTTTGCACGAAGGCTGGATCTGAGTTTTAATCAGCTCAGGTAAGATTAGCAAAGCGCACAACATGTAATCAGCTGCACATCTTCCTACATCTTCCTCTGCCTGCTACTGGGAGACATGCGTCTTCACATCAGGTGCAACTGAATGTGTACCCTGGGTTTACAGGTGGTCACAGTGTCATCAGAAGATCAGAAAGCTGAACGAGTGTTAGAACTGGGCTGGTGCCACGCTGGGGCGGGATAAAAGGCATCATCGATAAATGTGACATGCTAATTCAGGGGCAAATAGAAGAAAAGATTCCTCTGTCAGGACATGAAGGAGCACCTCATGGCAGCCGCTTCAGAGGGGGCTGCCATTTCAACAGCAGGACTAGCATAGTTGATGTGGCAAGTAAAAGAAAAGAGATGATGGTTATAAGGTGCTTTTGTTTCTGAAGCCCTTTCATGACTGTCAGGCCATGAAGCCATCTCAGTTGGGCCCTTTTCTGTTTAGAAATTGTTGTCTCGAGGCAGTTGTCTGTAGTGGGTATTTGGAGTTTAAATGGATTTATATAGTGCAAAACCCCTCAATTGAAAAATCTTTTTTAAGGTTCAGGAATATCTGAATGGGCCAACATGAGTTTCTTGGAAGCCCATGATCTGTTATCACAGAATTTACACACACAGTGCAGAGCTCACCTTTGCACAGGGTGTTGAGTAAGTCACAGTCCTTGTAAATCTGCTACGGTGGGCAAACAGAGATCTTTAGGTCCTTGGCTAAGCCTGATATACAGAAACCTGTCACACATTTTTCTTTTGTTTGTTTTGTCTAAACATCTGCAACTGGTAAAACAAAGATTTGTAGCTGCATTCTCATTACCTTGACCATCAGTATCCTATCATGCTCTTCATTCAAATATAGTCAGATAATTTGAAACATTTACGTTTTTAAATAGCTAACAGTAGGCAAGATGATACCAAGTGTCCTTTTTGCTCACAATAAATATTTTTTTGATTAGATGACCATACGTGAGGTTCCTAAACCAGTTAGCAAAAGTCCTATATAGTATTACACCTTGTCACATGACTAAGCATTGTACTGAATACACTGTTTGACACCAATTGTTTTTAGGCGTTTCCTCAGAGGAAGTGAAAGCACGTAATCTCTCACAGGGAGCATTATGGCATGAGACTGCAACAACTCTTATGTCTGTGGGTTTTGGGGATATCAAGACGGGCATTATGTGAGTTGCCCTTGAAGCTGTCACGTTAAGAGCTTCATGTTTAGAATGAAATATTTATGACTCAGAAATGACTAATTTATTATTGGTTTTCAGTTCAGCTAATCTCAGATGTCAGATATCATTACTAAACTTCAAAGGGTGGTATGCACAGAGAAGTGGTGCAGAAGTAAGCCAAGCAATACTTGAACCATTTAGGGCTCATGTCTGTGCAATATTGATTGATGGTTTGGTAGTGGAAAAAGTAATCTTATACCATGCTTAATTCTAATGATTTAGCTTTAGATTTGGCTAGATTTTATTTTCAAAGCTGCTTTATTTTCCTCAATTTCTGGGTTCTGGTTCATTCTTGTGCTTGTTGTGAAAATGAGTGTTTGTACAGTGTGTTAAAGCTGATTCCAACAACATTACATGACATTAATACAACAGAACATTAAAAGATGAAAGTATGCATTGCCAACATGCTAGTATTAGTTCCTTCTGGTATCACCATAAACACACATGACCACATTAGAAACTGGATAAACACGTCAACATGTGACAAAGTTGTAGCACCCACTGTTCGTTTCCCATTCCCCAGTTTTGATATACAAGAAACAATAAACCACTGATGCGTCATATTTTGTGCTGCTGTACAATGCATTGAATAATTTGACAAGGTTATAACCAATATTATTGGTAAAAGTTTCTAAGCACACTTTCACCTTTATAATATAGGACATCTGCACACCAGATAGGTAAACACTGTTATTTATCTCATAATGATAACGTTCGAAATTCTGCTGCTCTTATACGTCAGAGACATTTGTGAATATTGACACCGTGACCTTGTTTCAATGTCAGCTCAAGCAAACCAGGTGTAAACAAATGCACATGTTGGTTAAACTCAGTGGGCTACCTTCAGCATCGTGCACTTCTTCATGCTGCTTGACTCAAATCTAGAGGGAGACATTGCCAGAGTTTGTTGTAGCTAATGTGCTTATTTCTGTCAGCTCAATTGACAACACTCATCCAGCAACCTGACAATGAGTCACAACGAGAAGCAAGGTGCTGGCATTGGCTTTAACTGAGTCCTGTGTGGTTTTGTGTGCGTGTAGCGCATATGTTTGTTATTTTGTATGTGTGCTTGTGGATGTTTGCTTGCGTGCAGTGTTTGCGCATCTGTCTCTGTGAGCATAACTGTGAGTGGCTGGGCAGGTAATGGCAGGATGAAATTATGGTAGTGGGCTGTCACACCTACACCTCTCCCTCTGTGTGCTGTAGTGTCAGCCTGTCTCATCAATGTGTTGAGAACTGTGGCTCACAGTGAGATTTCTGTCCCAGGAAGGGCTTGGTTGGTATTGTGTTGTCCACTTTGTTCCAGGTCAGTTGTGTATACAGTGCTGTGAAGGAGCATGTGCTATGTTGACACGATTTCCCTGCTGTGACTGTTACATGCAGTGTTATCACCCTGGACACACGAGGATTGAAGAGGACATGTGTCTCTGAGTCTCAGGAAGAATCCTAACACTATTACAACAGGGATACTTGTCTTCCGAAATCAGACAAACCATCCTGATAAACAAATCCCAGTTGGGTATCAACAGCCAGTTGTGAAATCTTAAAACTCTACTTTTTCCAGTAAGCCTATTTTATCAATTTAGTTATATATATATATATTTTTAAAACCAAAGTATAGAGATATACTGACTGACTGAATTGGTCCATTTTCAGTCTTCTAAGCCTGGATCAGGTACTCAGCCTCCAGTATATCCTATTATGAGCCGGTTCGTTTCATGCATGCACGGTGGCACAGACAAGTTAAATATTATAAGCTTGGAAACACCTCACTGTGAGTGAAGACACAAAGTTTGCCAAAGTAAACTGTGGGTGAGGTACAAAGAAGATTGTAAAAACGAATCTAACTAGATGCTTCACTCAACTTTGCCTAGCTGAACATTTTAAAGAAGCTAACAAAAACAAAGTAGATAAAGCTACTTTGTTTTTCCAGAGCTCCGAGCCAGCCACAGGCAAGCATCCTTTGTGTGAGCCTCGGTATGAGCAAAAGATCAAAGTTGTTCCAAAGAAAATTATGGAGACAAGTGGAAAAGAAAAAAAGATTGATGTCCTCTTATTTGGTAAATTTATCCAAATACCGTAAAAGATTTGTTATATAAATCCGCTTTTGTTTGGTAAAGTAAAATATGCCAGATAAAGGTGGGCGCGCAGAAACATTTCAGTTGTTTAGGTGAGAGAAGATCCTGTAATGTACTCCAGCTTGTAAAATTTAATAATTTCTTGTATTATGAAAATTAAAATTGAAGCAAAATTTCCAAACAAGAGTGATTAAAGTTGTGCAATCACAGTGATTCTTTGAAATACCTTTAAATATTGGAGATACTAGAGACATTTGGTAAATGTCACATAAAACTGCAACTTTTACATTTTTCCATGCATGAGAAGATACCAATGTCTATTTTTCCTTGCAGTCAGTCTCAGTTTTCACAATATCAGAATTTCAAATATGACACTGATACTCAGGAAAATACTCAATAAAAAAGGGACAAAATTACAAATATATTATGTTATATTTTAGGATTCTCTTAGTTAGTGGAAAAAAACATAAACAACATTTTTAGATGTGCTTTTGGTGACTTGGCACCATATTTCCATTGCTGATCAAATAGAGTTGGTAACGTATGCTCTCACTATTTCTGTGAGAGAATGGTAGACTTTTCTTTGACTTAATCTTGGACTCAGACATTAAATGGCTGCATTATTCTGACCAGCAGGAGTGATAATGTTAGCTCCCAGATTAATGTTATATTATTATTAGCCATAGCCCCTAGCCACTAACTTAATGATTGCTATCTGTGCAACAATGTAGGAATGTAACCTGTTGCTGAAAGCGTTTGTCAGCGTCGTTTGAACTTATTAGGCACAGCATTGAATGTCAAGGACGTTAATTTACAGGTAAAAGTCAAGCACTCCACCTCTAAATTTTCTTACCACAAAGATCTTTAATTCAGTCGTTAACCTACATGGGCTCATATCCCTTGTGACCCACTCTATGATCTGAAACACTGACATTACTCTCTGGTATACTTAAAAGTCTAATGTCAGGAGTCGATCTGCTACATAAAATCCACCAAAGTTGAAATTCAGCCTGCTCTCAAGAATAGGAAGACCATATTGGACTTAGGCACACACATCTACTGTATGTGTGTGTGTGTGTATGTATGCAATGTGTGTGCCTCTGTCTGTGGGGGTATGTGCTCACCCAGGCCATGTTGGTGATGGCAGGCGTTTTGCATTTTAATGACAAATCAAGTATGCTAACTTGCATTTTAAAACGAAAGTGCTCTAAATGTCGCACGGCTGTCAAAATGAGATGTAAGTAGTCTGATGAAAAGAGAACAAAGAAGACAAAGTAGGGAGGCCTAGTACACTGAGAAATGAAATAAAACCTTGTATGGCCTGTCAACTGTGTCGTTTTATATTCATATCTAAGAAACATTATAGTATTACTCCGCTGCTCAAGCCTCACTCATCTGTCTCTTTTAATTCATCACAGGGACCGCTCTGTCTTTCAAGTTGCTGTATGTCAACACTGGAAGGGGCCTTCTAATTGACAAATGAGTGTCACAGACATCAAGTGTTCCTTTTCTATCCACGATAGGTAGACTCTGGTTGTTTGATGGTTTGGGGAGGAGGGATGAGGGGGTCTGTTATTGGCAGAAGCCCAGTAAGAGGCATTAGACTGGGCCCAGAATGAGAAGTGACAACAGGAAGAGAGCCTGTCATTGTCTTGCCTAAGTGTTCAATCTGCAGAGATGCTGGTAT